AGCCGGCTGACTTAGGGCTCCCGTCCCCTCTAGTCTGGCCGGGCTGCACACGGCATAAGTATCGAAGCACTCGCTACGACGCGTGAGCTACAGCCGAGATTCCAGCTTCTTGCATACAAGTTTGTCTCTGCCGTATCACTCCTGATCACTCACGCTCCATTCCCACGTCCCCTCTTGTCTCCTCTGTCCGCGACCAGTCCGTCGCGGGCTCACTACATTACCCAGTTTATGTGTTGAGACATGGTGCAGTGTCTCATGCAGAATCCGTTCCTGTGTGGTGCCTAGGCCAACTCAAACTGCCGGAGTCCTGGTGCGTGAGTTAGGACGCGCTTCAGCGGGGAAGCAGCGGCGACAGGCAGGGAGAGGAGACTGCCTGGGCTGCACGCTCGGTGGCTACAAGCCACCCAGTGATGCAGCCTTTGACGTGACTTCTCCCAGCTTCTGGACCTTGGTCATTGTTCCTGACACAGTTTTAAGCACTGAGCACCACATTTGTGGACAGCTGTGAGCTGCTGGCCACCCCTGCTGCCTCTGCCCTGGGTGAGTGCAGCCAGCAGACATCTGCGACACCCCCCCCTGCGCCCCGGCTGAGTTTCCCTGGGCAGGTGTCTGAGGGCCTCAGGCAGCTGTGGAGGAGGGGCAGGGGGCTAGGGTGGGGGCTGGGGCTCCCCATCAGAATGGTGAGCGTGGAGGTAAAAGACAGGAAGCAAGGAGAGACGAGTGAGGCCAGGCTGGAGCTGGAACCCGGTGTGTGTGTTTCGAGTTTGCATGCCTGTGCCTCTGTGCTATTTCGGGGCATGTAATTACAGACAGAAGGGAGGCAGGAGCACAAACAGGGGCCTTTCAGACTCCCCGGGGACACAGACCCGGAACACTCACTTCCTGGGTGACCAGGGCCCGGAATCCAGAAAAACACCCAAGCCTGTGTGTGTTGCACACAGCGGAGCCAATTGGACCGCCCCTCAGAGAGCCTCTTGGAGCCAGCCCCGGGACTTCTCAGAGAGGCTTGAGAGGCTGGGAGGCTCCTGCCTGGGGAGGGGCCTGGGTGGGTTCTCAGCAGGACCTGGGGCTGGGGCCGGGACGGCAGAGCTGGGGGCGTGTGGGGGGCAGGGAGGGTGGGCAGGAGAAGGGGTCGTGGGGAGGGTCGGAGAGGGGCTGGGGCAGGCCCACAGTAGAACCTTCCAGGAAGGGATGGCGCCACCATTGCTATCCTCTCCCGCTTGGACAGTCCTTCCGGTCTGACCTGTTTACAGGACGCGGTGTTCCGGCCCCAGCCAGAAGGGAGTCCTGCAGGTGGGAGCCTTACCCACGATCATGCCGACCTCGCACTGGCGGTCTTCGTAGTAGCAGGAGATCATGGTGGCCACCGTGTCGTTCACCATGGCCACCACGTCCATCTCAAAGTCCTGCGGAGAAGCACGGAGGCCGTGTCGGGGCTGGGGTCAGAGGCCAGCCTGGGCGGGGCTGCGGGCTGGGAGCTCACCCCTCTGCGCTTGATGGCATCTCGCAGGAGCCCCACGATGTTGTTCCCTTCAGCCCCCGAGGCCTTGAAGCCCTTGGTCCAGTTGAGGAGGATGCCCTGTGGGGAGAGGACGCTGGCCAGGGACCTTCGGCCCTTCCTGGGCCTGTCTGGGCCACAGGGTCACACACCCCCTTTCCAGACAAAGAAAGGAGCGGGGTGTGCCCGAATATCTCGGATTTCTGCAGGGCTGGGTTCCAGCCGCCTTGAGAAGGTTTGTGCTGCAAAGCCCAGAGAGGGGGCAGGTCCCCAGCCGAGCAGCCCTGGCTCCCGCTGGGGCCCCTCTCCTGCTGCTGCCCACAGACGCATCACCTGCCTGGCCCCCTGCCTCTCTCCAGGGACTGGGGTGTGGCGGAGCCGTGGGGGTGTTGCTGCCACCAGCTGTCACCTGGCCCTGTTTCTGACCCAGAGGAGACATTTCATTTCTCTGAAAGGCAGGCCGACAGAGCTCTCCCAGCTGCAGGCCCAAGCCAGGAGCCAGGAACTCAATCTGGCTCTCCCGTGTGGTGGCAGGGAGCCAACTACTTGAGCCATCACCACCGCCTCCCAGCGTGCGAGTCAGCGGGAAAGGGGATCAGGAACAGCGTGGAGACTCAGGATGGGGCGTGCTAAGACCCTGCCACGTGTGTGTTCGTGGTTTACCTGTGGAGAACTAACTGGCTGGCTGACTTGCAGGCTTGTGGCAGGGTGGGGGACACGTGGTGATGACTCCGCCGGGGCAGTGTGCCGTCCTGAGGGTCCGTGGGCAGCTGGAGCCCCTCCCCACCCTGGGCAGCCCTGCAGCTCCTTATCCCAGAGGGTGCTTCCGGGTGCCAGCAGGGGATCGGGTGATGGGTGCATGTACACGCTCCGGGCGTGTGGGGCTCGGGCACCAGGGAGTCGGCTGGCGAGCTGCCTGTTTTCCGAAGCCCCACTCTGCCTCCTGGACCCGGGCTCTCCCTGCACGGGGCAGGGGCAGGGACGCCCAAGTCAGCGGAGGGAGAGTGCTTGCGGCCCCCACCTTGTCGATGTCTTCGTGCCGCACAGGAAAGGAGAAGGTGAAACCCAGTGGCAGCTTCTTGTGCTTCAGCTGGTGCTTGTCCAGGAAGTCGGAGATGCACTCGGAGATGTAGTCGAAGAGCTGCAGGACGAGCCCGGGGCTGGCCTCCGGCTGCTGTGCGTGGCCACCCTCCTGCCCTCCCCTGGTCAGCCGCCGCTGTGGGGCTCAGGTCCCAAGTCTCCCCAGAGCCCTGCTGATGCACCCCCCCCCCCCCCCGCGCCAGCTGGGCCCTGTGAGCTCCAGCTCGGGCCTGGGCTATCATCCTGCCAGACTCTGATGGCGGCACACCCCACGCCCCTAACTGACTTCTGCCACCGCTGGTACTTCCAGTGTCCTGGCTGTCCTGCCTCTGCTGAAGGCCACTGCAGCCTCCTTGCCCCATCCTGGTCCTGTCCACACTGGGCACTGCTCAGAGCTGTCTGGTGGACCAAGCTCCCTGCTGAGCACCAGGGCCCAGGGAGGTGTCCCCATCATCCTCTCCCTTCTTGAATCACGCCCGATTCCAGCAGACAGCAAGCTACAGGTGCAGGGGGCGCAGCCTTCTGCCTCAGAACCCTGTGTCCTAGAACCCGACAGCCTCTGCCGGGCTGGGGCTGGGGGCTCTGGCTTTGCTGCCTCCCCCAGGGCTCATTCTGCTCCACGGGCCTTGCTTCCTGGCAGGCCTTGGCGGTGATAGGGGGGCGCTGCTGTTGGGACCAGCCGAGCCTACCCGGGCTCCTGAGAGCCCACTCACCCCCTGGCCCCGCCCCCCGGCCGCTCACCATCTCAGCGGTGCCGGTCATGGCGTCCTCAGGGATGGAGTACATCTGGTGCTTGGTCTTCACGCTCCACTGCCCCTCCTCGCCCTCCCCCACCTTCACCAGCATCACCCGGAAGTTGGTGCCACCCAGGTCCAGGGAGAGGAAGTCCCCGACTTCTGCAGAGGTGAGAGAAAGCCTCAGCTCACCACGCTGCCTGGGGGTGGCAGGAGAGCTGGGCGGGGCTGCCGGCCACTCAGGCCAGTTGTGGGAGGGGCCGAAGGTGACCTGAGGAACCCGTGGGAAACCCCTGCCCTGGAGTGGCAGAGGAACTAGAACAACAGGCAGACCCATGGCTGGGCAGGGCTCTCCCAAGTGACCATGTGGAAAAGGCCCTGGTTACGAGATGAAGAAAGCTGGTGTCCCTGGGGACTGGTGGCTCCATGGTGGACTGGGGCACCCCAGGACTGGACCAGAGGAGCCGGGCTGAGCACTCCTGCTTCCCAGGAGACTGCCCCAGGCTCACCGGGAGCAGCAGGGCCTTGGGAAGGCCTGGGTACTGCTGTGGGCTGGGTGTGACTGACGGCTGCTGGGGGCGGGGAGCCGGTCCCCCGCGGGCCTGCCCCGCGTACCCGAGCCTTCCGGGGTGGAGCGCACGTAGGTGGGCAGCATCTTCACGCTGGCCTCCTCGTGGGTCTCCAGCCGCAGGCCTCGGTCCATCTCCTTCTGCATGCGCCGCATCACCTTCTTCAGGTCCTCCTCGTGCAGCTGGAATTCCGCCAGGATCTGCTCCACCTGCGGGGCGGTGGGGGGGGAGACCGCTGTCGCCAGGTGCATCCCGCACACCCGGGGTCTCCCTGTCCTCTGACCCCGGGTCTGAGCAGAGCTAAGTTAGACAAGTTCCGTGCAGGCCCTCAGCATGCAGCCAGAGTGTGCTGGGGTGTGTGTGTGGCAGGGGCGGGGCTTTGGTCCTGAGGATGTCTCTGTGGCCCTGTCTCCTCACCCCTCAGACTGGGGCAAGGGGAGGTGGAGGCAGGGCTGGGCCACAGGCAGTGGCATCACTGTGTAGCCTGCTGCTAGGACCCGTGGCAGGAGATCCTGCGGCCAGCCCGTGTCAGAGGGTGCTCCAGGGCTCTTAGGAGTGACCTTGACGCCTCCGGGGTGTCTGGCTCCCAAAGCAGGGCCCTCCAGAGCAGAGGTGTGGGCCACACAGGAGGCAGGTCTGCATGTGTGGGGGTCTGCACATGCAGCTCCTGTGTGCGTGGATGGCCTGCAGTGTGGCCACCCCCGCCCCCAGTGGCGTGACGCCAGGCAGGGTGCAGCCTCGGCTCAGCCCACGCATCCCCAGTGAACTGAACCCTGAGGTGGACAGCCACATGCCTGTGGCCTCACACCCAGCTGTGGAGAGCAGGTCCCAGTGACACACTGGTTATCCTGGGCAGCAGCACGAATCACCCTAAAGCTTTAATTCTGAACCAAGAAGGAGACAGAAAGGCACCGGGTAAACGCTGTGGGTCTGATCTCTGCAAAAGCCCCCATTCGGGGCCAGGTTTAGCTTCGTGGCTAACAGGCCCAAGTCTCGTATCCGAGTGCCTGGACTGGAGACTCGGCTCTGGCTCTTGACCCCAGCTTCCTGCCAGTGCAGATTCTGGGAGGCAGAGCGACTGAGTTCCTGCAACCCACAGGGAGATCTGGATCGAGCTCCTGGGTCCCGGCTTTGGTCCAGCTCAGCCGTGTTGTTGAGGGCATTTGGAAGTGGAGCAGTGAGGGAATGGACCAGTGGAGGGGAGCCTCTCTGTCTCTCTCTGCCTCTCCAACAAATATAAATTTATTTTATTGCTATTATTTTTTACTAAAGCTCACACTCTGTGCTACACACACTCTGAATTCCAGCCAGGAGGCACCACCGCCACTTGCCCTCTTCCTTGGTTTTCAGAACCCAGATTTTGCTGGGAGCGGGGGCCAGTCGCACATTAAGCCGTGATGGGCTAAGCCAAGCACTGCAGTCCGGTGATGGGCTTAGAGGTGGGCGTGCGGCCCGGTTCCGGTCACTGACAGGTGAAGCGAAGCCTGACTTTTCCAGGGCAAAGGAAAGCGCCAGTGCCCCTGAATGTGCGAGGGCAGCTTTCTGTTCTACGTGTGGAGGTGATGACCAAAGGATTTGTCAGCCGGCTTCCCACCACGAGCAGACAGGCTGCGGCAGGGTGGGGACCTGTTCACTTCCAATAGCAGAAGAGAGACGGATGCCAGACCCCCACCTCCACATGCCGGCCACGGAGCAAATACCACCCACCCACCACACCATGGGTAGTGGCTTCTGTTTCCTGCAGCCCAAACCATTCTGAACAGATACCAATCCTTGGTCAAGAACCACTTTTCTTGGGGCTGGCACTGTGGCGTAGTGGGTAAAGCCACTGCCTGCAGTGCCGGCATCCCATATGGGCACCGGTTCGAGTCCCAGCTGTTCCACTTCTGATCCAGCTCTCTGCTATGAAAGCAGTAGAAGATGGCCCAAGTCATTGGGCCCCTGCACCCACATGGGAGACCCAGAAGAAGCTCCTGGCTCCTGGCTTCGGATTGGTGCAGCTCCAGCTGTTGCAGCCATTTGGGGAGTGAACAGCAGATTGAAGACCTTTCTCTCTGCCTCTCCTCTCTCTGTGTAACTCTTTCAAATAAATAAATAAATCTTAGAAAAAAAAAAAAGAACCACTTTTCCTAATGATGCCCTGCACATAACATGTAAACCCAGAAAGGAATGGGGCTGGCATGCTGTGATAAAAGACGGAAACTAACAGCCAGGATGGCTGAGCACTGGCTGTTCTCAGCCCAGGGTGAGGGGTGGGAGTGTGGCCTGTGCCGTCCCTGTGGGACGCACCCCTGCAGGTGTCCCAGCGCACTCTGGAACGGCCCAGGCTGTCAAAGGTCCCCAGCTGCAGCCCGTGCCTCCTCTGTCCTTCCCACCCCTGCCCATGCAGTCTGTGCCGAGAGCTGGCGAGCGAGACGACTCACACCCGCTGCACCCATCACACGCCTGGTGTGGGCTGGAGCTTTCCCACGGCAGGGGCACAGGTACACACAACCGACACGATGTGGCTGGGGCCGGGCTCTTCTCCCGGGACGCACTTGTTCAGAGACCTGACCGTGGGCTTTGAATACAGTGATGCTGACCCCGTTAGCTTCCCCAGCAGCCTGGGAAATGCGGGTTCTGCGAACCCCAGGGAGCTGCTGATTACCCAAGTGTGTCCCTGGGAGAACACAGCACCCACAGCCTGGCCTGCCCAGCCCTGGGACACCCAGGCTTCTCCTGCTGACCTTGCCCAAGGTCACATAATCAAGACCCAGGGCACAACCAAGGCTGCCCGAGGCCCTGAGATCCCCTACTGCGGGCAGATGCTGACTGCACGTGTGTGGGGCCCAGGAGACCAGCAGCAGGCCCCACTCCCAGGAGCGGCGGGAAGAATGGAGTCACACCCTGGGCAGTTGGGTGATGAGGAAGGCAGGCAGGGGCAAAGGCTGAGCCCTGGTGCCAGGCAGTCCCATGTGCTAGAAGGGGTGGAAGGCTGGGGCAGCTTTGGCGGCACAGTGGGGGCAGTCAGGATGCCGTGAGGCACAGCGAGTCTGGAGGGAGCACAGCGAGTTGGCTTGCGACAGACTGAGGCTTGGACTGGCGGAGGAAGCGTTTGGGAAGACCCCTGGGGCTGAAGGGTGGACTTGCTCCCGGCCGTGCCATGTCTGCCCGCCCTGGCTCGGTGGCTGCTGGCTCCAGGAGGCCAGGGTGCAGGGAGCACATCTGAAAGCTGCCAGTAGGGAGACAACCTTGGGACCACAGGCCAGGGTGAGGTCACTGCTGTGTCCAGGTTGAGGGGAGCAGTGCTGGGCAGGCAGGGCTGCCATGGCAGGACTCATGTCTGCCTCACACCGTGAGCAGGGCCTGGAGACCCCTCCCCAGAACGCAGTGAACAGGCAGGACGCTGAGGGCCCCGTTCCACAGATGACGAGGCCGAGGTTGGCCCAACACTGGGACAGGCGGCCTAGGAGGCCCACGGAGGCACCACGGGCCCTAAAGGACATGGCCAAGGGCCACATGTCCAGCTACAGCTCTGGCCTTGGGTGGCTGTGGACAGTAGGAGTGACCCTGGGCTGCCCACTGTCTCCTGAGAGCAAGATGGCATAGGATCTTCATGCTGCCTGACCGTGGAGCCAGGCTGGGCAGTCTGGACCCCAGGACTGCCCTAGCAGCTGCACCGTGGGTGGCCACAGCTAGCAAGGGATGGTGGGGAGAGTGGCCAGCTCGGGTACCGCTACCTTTGCCAGGACTCCCATTGGCACAGGGGTCCAGTGCCTGCTCGCCACCCCCAGACCCCAATCTAGAATCTGTAAAACCCATGTGCTGCCCACACCAGGGTCCCTTGGGCTGTGGGGGGGTCCTTACCAGACTCGTGGCTGTCTGGGCCTGCCTCCTTGTGGCTTCCATGGTCATATCCCAGGGTGCAAGGAGAAGGAGGCTTTGGGGGAAATGGAGACACTCCCGCCTGCTGAGGCTGGAGCACAGTGGTAGCCCTGTAGCCTGCGGTTGCCTGTACAAGCAAGGTCTGGCCCAGAGTCACCTAGGGCGGGCAGCCTGGGGCTTCTGCACTGAGGGCCAGCAGGTGGCTGCTGAAATAGCCTGCCCGCTGCCACAGGGCCAGGGGCAGGACCGGAAGGGCAGAGAGGCCGCTCAGGGTCAAAGTGGACAGGACATGGGGCAGGCCCGGGGCAGGCTGTGCGCCCTCTGAGCACAGGTCGGGAGGGACTGTCGGCAGTCCCGCCGCCCTCTACCTCTTGTGAGGGTAGGGCATCTCCAGGCTGCCCTGGGGGCTGGGGTGCTCAGAGAGAGGCTCGCAGACGGGTGTCCTGAGGGATGCAGCCGGTGCCGGTGCCCGTGCCTGGTGGCCCTGCATCTGCACAGAGCTCCATGTGCCTTTCCTACAACCAGAGACCTGCATGGTGCGTGGGTGATGAGGGTGGGCCAGTGGCTGGGAGCCAGGTCCAAGGCTTTTGCAGGAAGGACCTGGCCCTGAGCGTGGTGGGGCTGGAAAAGAGGAACACAGGACCCAGGGGCGCCTGATGCTCAGGGCAGCCAGCAGGGACCCGAGGGCAGCAGGGCCCTCAGCCCACCAGCACCCGGCCAGCCGCTGGCTCCGGACTACTGCAGGAGCTGCAGGCAGGGGCAAGTCCCCGGGACACCCAGATGCCCCCTAAGTAGGAGCACACGCTGCAGCTGACACTCTGCCATCATTCACTGTGGCCCTGCCTCCGAATGCCTCAATCCAAAAGCCAAACAGGAAGGAGGGCAGGTCTGAGGTTTTGTGTCTGCCGAGCCCAGGCCTGGGGCTCCATTTGGGTGTACATATCCTGGGGGCAGGCGGCATCTTCCCAGGCCCCAGCCTGGGCTCGCTCAGGAGTGACCCTGACATGGCCTGCACCAGCTGGTCCTTGCCAAGCTCTGCTAAAAATAGCCCGAGCTGAAGGCGGTTCCGGGTCCACAGGTCCCTTGTCGGCACGCCAGGCTCTCCCGCCAATGGCGAGGTGCTCACCCCCGAGGAAGCCCTTGACACGATTGATCCCTTTCCCAAAATAGAGCAGAGACGGCCTCACCAGATCCGTGTGACAGGCCACGATGCCCACCCCTGGCTCCCAGCCTCTGTTTGCTCGTGGGGGTGGGCTTATGCCAGGGTTGGTGTTGGGGTTGCTTTTGGGACCAGCCAGGCCAAGCATGTGCCAAGCCGGCACCTCGCCGGCCTGGTGCACAGCATGGGTCAGGAGGACCTACACCCTGCAGCCCCGTTCACGGGGAGATGGGCGCACAGGCACGGACGGAACAGGCGTGGCTGGGCTGCTCTTCCTCTCTGCAGGTAACCAGCTGGCCTTGCCTGGGGGCCATCTCCTCCCATTCCCCACCCCCTGGTCCTGTCTCTGGCTTCCTCTGCAGGTGGGGGAGCAACACTGGGGGCCAACACTGCTGCAAGCCAAGGTCCCTGGCCTGAAGTGCTTTGGGGTGGACAAGCCTGTCCTAAACTTGTCCAGACAGGAGGGGCCAGGAAGGGCAGGGCCTTGGGGTTGAGAGCTCAGAGTGGTGCCCTGGACACGCCTCAGTCTCCGGTGTCTCCAGGCTGTCCGAGGGCGATGGGGAAATGGGGCCGAGCAGTGCACCCAGGGCTGGGTGTCTCAGGAGACAGTGAGCTCCCCATTGAAGGGGAGGCACAGGAACAGAGAAAGAAGGGGTTGCTCTGTGTCCACTGTTGCTCTCGGGGCCGATCAACAGGCGGGACTTGGTTTTCTCTCTTGTTTTTGTGAAGGGAATCGCATGACAAAGTCAGTGATGGGTATTTATTCACTCCAGTATAAAAAATAGGGCACAGCCCACGCATTTGACTCCAGGGGGTGGCTACATCAGTGATGCAGTCTTTTTTTTTAATTTTTTTATTTTTGACAGGCAGAGTGGACAGTGAGAGAGAGAGACAGAGAGAAAGGTCTTCCTTTGCTGTTGGTTCACCCCCCAATGGCCACCATGGCTGGCGCACTGCGGCCGGCGCACTGCGCTGATCCGAAGGCAGGAGCCAGGTGCTTCTCCTGGTCTCCCATGGGGTGCAGGGCCCAAGCACTTGGGCCATCCTCCACTGCCCTCCCGGGCCACAGCAGAGAGCTGGCCTGGAAGAGGGGCAACCGGGACAGAATCCGGCGCCCCGACCGGGACTAGAACCTGGTGTGCCAGCGCTGCAAGGCGGAGGATTAGCCTAGTGAGCCGTGGTGCCGGCCAGTGATGCAGTCTCTACATGCACTTGGCAGTGATGCTGACACAGACCTGCCTCTGCCGGCTGCAGCCAGCCTGGGTCACCAACAGGATGCCGGTCACAAACGCCACGATGGCTTCCACTCTGCTCTCGCTCTGGTGGCTCCCCCCGGGGCACACGGGCTGCGGGGCGCTAGGGACACGAGAAGCCAGTGGGAAGGTCCCTTGGGAGGAAGAGGAGCCTCCAGCCACTGTGCAGCTCCCACTGGCCAGGCACGTGGGTGACCACCCCATCTCCTGCACAACCACCTCAGCAGAGACCCCAAGCCAGGCTTCCTGCTACCCGGCCTCAGAAAACCCACGGAGGCGCGTGAGAAGGAGAAGGCTTGTCGCTGGGAGCTGCTGGGTTCCAAGGCGGTTGGGTCCACAGCCGCGGACGACAAACACAGCGGAACCCAGTCAGAACACAGCCAGGCCCCTGCAGCCCAAGATCAGTGCCGGTGACCAGATCCCGCACCCAGGGGTCAGCACAGCACAGGTGAGTGAGCACCCTGCTGGTGGAAACACGAGTGATTTTAGCTTACTTCCCTCTCTGCTTTTCTGCGTATATATAAAATATTGATTATTTATTTGAAAGGCAAAGTTACAGAGAGGCAGGGGCAGAGCAAGCGAGGGTCTTCCATTCCTTGTTCACTCTCCAAATGGCCACTACGGCCGGAGCTGGGCCAATCCGAAGCCAGGAGCTGGGAGCTTCCCACATGGGTGCAGGGGCCCAAGGACTTGGGCCATCTTCTACTGCTTTTCCAGGCCATAGCAGAGAGCTGGATTGGAAGTAGAGCAGTCAAAACTTGAACCAGTGCCCATATGGGATGCCAGCACTGCAGGCGGTGGCTTTACCCACCAGGCCACAGTGTCGGCCCGTTTCCTGCTTTCTTATGTAATGAATGAGTTGTAACCAAGTCCTCTCTTAAATTCGTGAGAAGTCAGTCCTCTCTAAAAAGCAGGAAAACTGGAATGGTGGGCTCCTCTGGTCCTCTGAGCCCTGAGGCCCAGACTCCCAAGGGCGGAGGCTCACAGCCTAGCGAGCCGACTCTCCAGACCCCAGTGCAGGAGGGAGCCAGGACACCAGAGAGTGACTGGGTGCCCCCACCCCCACCCCGGCCTGGTGCTGACCAAGCGCAGGTGGGCTGATGCAATGGGTCTGGAGGCCAGGTCCATGTCGCAAGTGTTTGCTCACTGCAGAGTAGCTTCCAGACTGGCTGTACCCTGTGCTGGGGCAGGCCAGGGCCCTGGTGAGTAACAGTGTCATGTCAGGCAGTGGGTGGTGGCCTGTGGCCAAACTGTCAGGGGCAGAGAGGCAGCAGAGTGTGCCAGGGGAAGTGCCCAGGGGCTGCTGCTTGCTGGATATCCTGCCGGCCCCTTCGCTGGCGGCCACTGGCCTGGGAGCTGGGGAAACTGAGGCCCATGAGTGAAGGGGACTTGGACAGATGCGCCAGCTCCAGGGGACTCGGCCGGGATTCACCAGGTCCGGCTGCCTCCAGGACTGTTCTTCAGAGTTCTGCAGGGCCAAGCACTCGCTGGGAGCCCGGAAGTGTCCTTTATGGCATGTGCCTGCTGGAGATGCCAGAGGCTCCGGCTCCAGCCTGCAGAGTGGGGACGTGGCGCCCGCAGAGCCCTGCTCCATCCCACGGCTGCCTCTGACAGCAGATGGGGCCGGAGGTCTGGGGCAGCATCAGGCCTCGAGACCAGCACTGTGTGGGGGATGAGGGCAGCGCTTGGATGGGGGCAGGGAGGTCCTGTGCCCCGGCCGGACCACAGCACTGGCTGTGCACCAGGACCCTGGCTCACTCCCAGGCAACGCAGGAGCGTGCGGTCCCAGTCTGCATCCAAAGGCTGATCCTGCCTGCCTCCCACCGGCTCTAGGACCAGGGCCTTGGACAACGCTTTAACGTTCCTCGGTTTATTCATCAGCGAAAGGGGACAACGATCTGTCTGCCTCAGAGGGTGACTGAGGGCAGAGAAGGCTCCTGGTGCATTCGGGTGCTCGTGGCTGTGCGGCCAAAGGAAGCTCCACTGCCTGGGCCAGAGGTAGGACCCAGCTGCCCCACGCTTCTCCAGAGCCTACTGATTAGTTCAGTGTTCTAAGGAGGAAGACCAGGGGTGCAGCTTCGTTGATGCCAGTCCCACACTAAATCAATGGAGCTTTTTGTCTGCAGTGACTAGGGAACGACGTCATGGAAAATGGTTGAGGAGAAAGCTCCCAGGGCTAGTCCCTCTGCATCTAACTAACCATTAAGTTAGGGGGAAAAACCGTAAGGATCAACTGCTTCAGAACTCTGGAGCCTGGGGCCGGTGTTGTGGCATAGTGGGTAAAGCCACTGCCTGCAACGCCGACATCCCATATGGGTAGCCATTCATGTCCCGGTTGCTCTACTTTCAATCCAGCTCCCTGCTAATACACCTAGGAAAGCAGAGGAAGGTGGCCCAAACACTTGGGCCCTTGTACCCACGTGGGAGACCCAGATGAAGCTCCTGGCTCCTGGCTTTGGCTTGGTCACCGTGGCCATTTGGGGAGTAAACCAGCTGATGGAAGATCTCTCTCCCTCCCTCTCTCTCTGCCTCTCTCCATAACTCTGCCTTTCAAATAAATCTTTTTGTTGTTGTTAAAATAAGAACTCTAGGACCGGCGCCGCGGCTCACTAGGCTAATCCTCCACCTGCTGCGCTGGCACCCCGGGTTCTAGTCCCGGTTGGGGCGTCGGATTCTGTCCCAGTTGCCCCTCTTCCAGGCCAGCTCTCTGCTGTGGCCCGGGAAGGCAGTGGAGGATGGCCCAAGTGCTTGGGCCCTGCACCCGCATGGGAGACCAGGAGGAAGCACCTGGCTCCTGGCTTCAA